AGGCACGCGCCACCATGCCCAGCTAATTTTTTTGTAGTTTTAGTAGAGACGGGGTTTCACCATGTTGACCAGGATGGTCTCGATCTCTTGACCTCGTGATCCACCCGCTTCGGCCTCCCAAAGTGCTGGGATTACAGGCGTGAGCCACCGCGCCCAGCCCATATTTTCTTTTTTACACTTTTAAGTTCTGGGGTACATATGCAGATCATGCAGGTTACATTGGTATACCCACGCCATGGTGGTTTGCTGCATCCATCCCCCCATCATCTACATTAGGTATATATTTCTCCTAATGTTATCACTTCCCAATGCCCCCACCCCCTGCTATCCCTCCCCTACCTCCCCTCGCCCCCTCCACAGGCTCTGGTGTGTGATGTTTCCCTCCCTATGTCCATGCCTTCATAAAGCATGAATGCTGTAAAAATGAGATGAGATAATTTGTGTGTGCACAGCACATAGGGCCATGCATGGCACAGGATACCTGCTCGGTTATTGATTACTACGGCAAAGGTCAAGTGCATCTCGTAAAACATAGCTTGTTAAAACGTGACTGCTACTTCTGACTACTCATATCTCCAGTGTAATGGAAATAAGACCAAGGGATACCTGGAGAGGATCATCCACTCTGGATGAGGTCAGTCTCTTGCTACTGCTGCTCCCATAGTCTCAAGCAGGGGCTTCCATTCTGTGAAGGGACAGACTCTCTAAATTCCTGGGAGTTTGGGGCGGGGCTGATGCAGGGAAGGCATCCCTGGAGAGGGTCCTGTTCCCCTTGCCAGGTGTAATGCACAGGCCTGCGCTTGGGAGACTTATAATGGCGCTGAGTGGCCTCAAGCAAGCCCAGGCAGCTCCCCACCCACCAGCATCCATTAAACACCTCCTGCAGGGCTAGTGGACAATACCTGCCCTTCCCACCTGTCTTAGCATGAGCTTCTCTCAGAACACCTGTCAGCAACTCAAATCACTTGTGATTCCAGGACACGCATCTTCCTTACTCAACTCTAGAGCACTGATTTTCAAGCTGTTTTCTCAGAAACTCTATAGAGGAAGCCCATGGCAAGGGCACAGAACTTCAAGCCCCAGCACTGCCTTTCCCCAGAAAAGCTGGTTGTTTCCCAGTTTGGAATGTCTACCCAAGATGTTGTTTGAACCAACGATTCTCCAGCTAAGGAAGAAAAAGAATTTGAATGTCACTGCTTTATGGGAGATCAATCTTATGAGCCCTTAAAGGAATCTTCAGTAAGCTCTTACAGAAAATGCATAATTTTTGAAATAAACTACAACTATTTCTCCTGCAAGCCCTCCTCAGAGCCATGGCCAGACTATGCACCTGTTAGTTAACTAGGCACTCCAGTGTGGGCTAAGCCATGTTAAAACCAGGGCCCTGCCCTGATTACAAAGTGACTTAACTTGATGCAAAACAAGAAGCCACACTCTGGGTTTCTTGCCTAAAGGAATGCGTGGCCGGCATGGCCCACAGGTGGTCCCTCTCTGACAATCATCAAATATTAGCAAGAGCTGCAGCGTTGGCAAGAGCTCTGTGGGCAGCTGCCTGAGGCCCAGAGTCTGGCATGCTGGCTGAAGCAGGGGCCTCGCCTTGTGTGCCAAGGACTTTGCAGCTGTGCATACCCCATCTCCTGCACTGATGGGCATAGCTTTAATCAGTGGTGCTGAGGACAGAGGGAGGCATCTAAGCTTGCAGCATCAAAGCATGCTCACCAGCAAGCAGTGGCTTTGAGGATGTGTGGGCACCTTCTTTAGGCAAGGGGCTGTACAAGCTGCTGGTGAGGAGACAAGACTCACTGGGCACTGTGTCTGTTCTCAGGAAGCCTAGAACCTGGAGCAGAAACTAAGCGCCTACCCTGATGTCCACACTCTGTGGCAGGAGGATCTGTGACAACTTTTTCAACAAGAAAAAAGTGGAAGGAGCCAGATAAGGGAGGGATATAGCCCTCTTTGTGAAGGGTTTTTGCATTGGATGATTGCATGACCCCATGGCCCAAAAGGAGGACTAGTTTGTGAAATTTGTTCAGACAAAATCCTTGTTTAGATGATAAACATTATGATCACCATACACAACCTGAGCTGAAGGACCTATGGAACATGCACAGGTAGGAAGCATTCGGCCGGGTGGGAAGAGCTAGAGGAGAGCCATGAGGTGGGAAGCGTGGGCATTTTGGGGGAACATCAAGCTGGAGTCTGGAGAGGCTGGAGCATAAAGGGCAGGAAGTAGAGTCTCAAGGGAGGTCAGATGAGATCCCCGGACTCCAGGGGCCTCACTGCATGAGTTTACACTTTCCTTTGCCCAGCGATGATGTCCCATGGAGCCTTCTGAGCAAGAAGTGTGGTAGTCAGAGGTGAGCCATGGCACGAAGGAGCAGGGAGAAGTGGGAGTTCCTGGCTGGCAGAGGAAGGAGGGCATGGCTGGTGGTGGAGGAGCCGGAAGGCCAGGCATCTGAATCATCCCACCCCAGCCGGCCACTGCCCTGCTCTTTACCCTCCTGGCCGCCTGTCACTCTGAGGAATGTGGCTCACTCTCCCTAAGGGGAAGGCAATGTGCTCACGCCACTTCCTGAACCCAGACTGGTTCCAGGACTATTTTTGGCTCTCCGGAGCCAGCGTTTGACAAGAAGAGCACAGCTGCCGACAATCCCACCCCAGTGAAACCTGCTGCTCCATAAAGGGCCATATCAGTTCCTGCACATGATTTAGGGTCACCTGGACCCAAGGTCAGGTGAGACCCCTCCAACTTTAGCATCACAGTCCAGTGGAGTCTTTCCTGGGCCTGGAAGAAGCAAGCTGGTGCCTTTGCTCAGCACGTGCAGAAGCAGAAGCACAGCTGTTTGTGGGACTGTGTTTGTTCAAGGGGCGCCAGGGCACCAGGAGACACACTCACTTCCTAGTGCATCCAGCCTGCTGTGTGACCAACAATAGCTGCAGAGTGTGAGGGAGAAACCTGCAAAGCCGGCCAGGGCTGCACTCCTTACAGAATGATCCCTGGAGTAAAAGAGGTTTACAGTCAAGAAGTTACGTTTAGAAAGGACCCACTCAGAACAGGAACAAGCTTAGACACTTCATACCAACCAAAGCCTCATCCCCGGCCGGTCGAATACACACCCTCCCCTCTATCACCCTATAAATTCATTCACCATCTTTGCTTGGATTATTTTTAAACTCTCAGATTTCCCAGTCCCCAAACTCTTGACTCTCCAATATATCTTCAAAACTGGGGTCCAAGAGAGTGAGCCCCTTCATAGAAAGGCTAGGTATTAATATCCTGTGTTATCTCTGCACCCAGTAAAACAAATTTTGAAGCCAATGAATAGACAAGCATACCAATGGATGGAGATCCCTCGGGCAGCTCCAGCTGAGCAGCGTGGCCTCTCCCCACAGCAAGCCCTGAGCACCGTGAGTGCTGCTGCTAGAACCACACAGGTACAGCTAAGGCCAGCAGCAATGTCAGCCGCACAGCCAGGACGCGGGAAGGGAATCAGGCAGCAGGTCTGAAAGAAATGTGCAAATCCAGCCTCTCTATTGCTTTTCCTTTTGGAATGTTTCTAACGCACCAAGTGCGGAAGGTAAAGCTCTAGATTCATTTTCTCTAGGAAAACACATTTTCTTTGTTTGCTTAAGTGGAGCTCAGTGGGAAAAGGTTTGGCTGACTAGGAGAGTTGGTGTTGGGAAATATGGGTAAAGGCGATGAATGCCATGATCCTCACCAATAGTTTGTACACCCTAAGAAACTAATGGTAACACTGATAAGGACAATAATAGATGCTACCATTTAATCAGTATATGCTGGGTGCAAGGCATTATGCTAAACACTTGACAGGCATTGTATACTAAAGAGTCACAGTTGTACTTAGGACACAGATACTATTATTATCCCTGGTTTTAGAGGAGGTTTAGTGAGATTAAGCCTCTTGCTCAAGGTCACACAGCTAGTAAGTGACAGAAAAGTGATTTAAACCCAGGATGAGTGATAACAAATTTACTTCTACACTGTAGTGCCATTTCATTTTTTTTTCATGGATTAATGGTCATATTCGTTAGGAAAGAGGCAGAAAGAAGGAAGGGCCTGCTAACTAACTGCCAAACATTATGCTAGGTGATTTCTACAGGTTGAGCATCCCTAGTCTGAAATCCAAAATGCTCCAAAATCTGAAACTTTTTGAGTACTGCCAGGTGGAAAATTCCACACTTGACCTCATGTGCTGAGCTGCATGCAGCACTTTGTTTCATGAACAAAATTAGTTAGAATATTGTGGCAAATTACCTTCGAGCTATGTGCATAAGGTGTATATGAAACAAATGAATTCCACGTTGAGGCTTGGGTCGCATCCCCAAAATATCTCATTATGTACATGCAGATATTAAAATATATATATACATACTTCTGGTCCCAAGCTTTTTGGGGTAAGAGGTACTCAGCCTGTATGTGTCAACTCACTTGATGAAATGCTTAATGATGAAAACTGTTATTAACGTCCTCTTTCTGCAGATGAGGCACCTGTATCTCAGAGTAGTTAACAAGTAGGTCTAAAGTCATAAATAATCATTAGTACAAGTGAGAAAACTGAGAATAGCAAGCCAATTTTAGTAGTCAATGCCAGAACACAGGGCAAAAGAGGGAGTATGACCAGCAGCTCATGCTAAGTGTTGAACTAGACCAGCGGCTGGCAAACTTTTTCTGTAAAGGGCCAGACAGTCAATGGGATTTGGCCTATGGGCCATAGTTTGTTGACCCTTGAACCAGATGGCATGGATACGTGGAAAGTTTGAACCTTTGTGAGACTCCTGTTCCTAACAGTTTTCATATATGAATCTATTACTAATTTCTAAGTTTAGTTTAATCTATCAACTTAGTAAAATCATTCATATATAACAAAAAGCTAAACCTGGGTAATTATTAAATACTCCAATGGGAAAATTCCAAGGCACATGCATGTTTTACAGAGGGAAAAGTAAGAAGAATATATTCCACTGAGGGGGGAAAAAAAGGAACACATTTGCACGCTGAGCCCTGAATACAGAACAGATGCTAAGGCTTAAGCTGACATCCAAATCCTGCCCTCCTCTTTGGAGTGTGGACCAAGGCTTAGATGAGTTGGTGGCTTGGGTAATTAAAAACTCTAAAGATCACTGCCTTCATTCTAAAAGGCCACGTGTTCACAGAAAGCTTTTTCCTGTGTGGATGGCAGACACTTATGCACAGTGCCATTTTCACTGAAGAACAGAAGAGCTTAGTTCAATAAGAAAGAAAGAATTAAAGGATTGGAAATATCTGAATCAGAAATAATCCATCTTCATAAACAGCAATCAGAAGTCAGGGTACCGCAGGACGGTCTATCATTTACAGGGGAGAAAATCCCTCTGTAAACTCAAGTTTTGTCTTTGACAAATGACCTCCAGCAGTGTTTCCTACTGGTAAGTCCACGTGCGAAACCTGAGAAACTGCTCAGAAATGGGTGATGGGAGAAAACAAACAAGAAGCAAAGGGTGGTATTCATTTTGTTTGGAGAATTATCTGGCTCCATAACTGATTCAATAATCACTGATTTCGGTACTCAGGATCTGAATCAATACTCAGTGCCTGGATCCATGCAAGGTTCAGGGAGACAACATTAGCCAGACAGCCAAGGTCTTTATCCTCAAAAACTGTACAGTTCCCTGGGGAGGATCATTTAGGGGATATGTTTTTAATCTCAACCATTAAAAGGTATTTCTAATAACGTTTGCTTGCAAAAGACCTTCTCTGATTTTTCTTTATCAAGATATCTTAGGACGCTACTGTCTTTTATAAAAAAAACTTTTATTTCAATCGTTTTGGACAGTTTTGGTGTTTTTTGGGTAAGATCTTTAGTAGTGACGTCTGAGATTTTGGTGCACCCATCACCCAAGCAGCGTACACTCTACCCAATGTGTAGTATTCTGTCCCTCATCCACCTCTCAGTGTCCCCACACCCCAGTTGCCAAAGTTCATTATATTACTCTTATGCCTCTGCATCCTCATAGTTTAGCTCCCACTTGTGAGAATATATGATACTTTGTTTTCCGTGTGTGAGCACCCCACTTTCCTAGGGCACATTCTCACCATTTTCCCCTTCCTCCCTAATAACCCCAAACTTTTCTCTGCAGCTGCCAGGAGAGATCACCTCTAAATGTGTAACCAACAACATGGACAATATTGCAACATCCTCAGACAGCTCCTTTGCTTCTCTCCTTGAGCCACGAAAGAGGGGTCAGCAATGTGAGGCTGAAGCACTTGGATCATTGTAACGCAGGTGGGACCAGTGTGTGTCACCCCCCAGGGTGGCAATGAGGAACTGACTGCTGGTCTCACTGCACTGATAAAATCTCAGGCAGGACGTCTTTGCATGTTCCATGTATCCATCCATCCATCCATCCAATCATTCATTCATTTAAAAAATTATAGTAAAACACATGTAACAAAAATTTACCATCAGTGACTTTGGAACATTCAGAGTGTTTTGCAATTATCACCACTCTCTGGTTCCCGGTCAGTGTCATCACTCTAAGTAAGAACGCCCATGTCCAGGAAGCAGCCACTCCCCACTCTCTCTCTCCCACTCCCTCCCAGGAAACAACCAGTCTGCTTCCTGTCTCTATGGATTTGCCTATTCTGGACATTACTGATGAATGGCACCACACAATGTGTGCCCTTTTGTGACTGCTTTCTTTCATTTAATGTTCTCTAGGTTCACTCATCACAGCATGTATC